TATGCCTTATAGTCAGCTACGGGTACACCGGTTTTGGAGGCCTTGTCGTCAGCCAAGAGTTGCATAACTTTGAGAATTTTGTTTAAAGGCTTTGAATGGAAACTAATGAGAGAGTTGTTGGAGAAAAAGGTTTTCAGAGAAAGATCTAAGCATTAGATTAGTTATTATTGTTTGTTTGCTAACAAACGTCAAGCGAAGGTCGTCTTGAAAACTGACTTCAAACTCAGCATTAATTCAAAAAACTCTTTCAATAGAACGGCCCCTAAATTGACTATAAATTACTTTTAAGTATTATTGCAAACAATTTAAAAGTTTAACGTCTGATTAGATATTAAATACAATTTATTTTCAACTTCACTTCGTATAAATATATTATACTTATTATTTGTGCCTGTATTGTATTATATTAATAAAATATAATTTCTCTAAATTGCTAATGGCATTCAACTATTTCAATTTAATTTGTCTAAATTATTAGAAATCTTTATTTTTAGCAATACTGTTGTTAAATATAATAGGCTTACAACATTTCTCGTACTTTTCCTCATTTTCTATTATTAATTGCAATTCAAATTCATTTATGGCCTGAATTTTATAGAAATTTTTTCAAATCAAATTTCAATCAAAATTTATTCATAAAAACAATTAAACGAAAACTTTTTATTTTCTGTCTTCAGGTCATCAAAAAAGTTATTCTCATTTTCACTCTTTGTATGCATTTTAGTAAATATTTTGTTATTTGATATTTATTGTTCAAATGCAATGCCATTCAATTTATAGTACAAATTGCCCTCAAATCTATACAAACAGATTTATTAAATAGAAATATTTGCTTACATTCAAAACAACTTAAATGTATTAAAAGGAAATATATTTATTGTTCAAATGCAATGCCATTCAATTTATAGTACAAATTGCCCTCAAATCTATACAAACAGATTTATTAAATAGAAATATTTGCTTACATTCAAAACAACTTAAATGTATTAAAAGGAAACAATTTTTAATAATAGGTCATAACCTCTCATATGACACTTTCCACAAAGTAATCACTATTGATGTTGAATTATTTTTTAAACTTTTTTGCATTCTTTTCAATTGAACACAATACATTGAATGGAATATTACTGCATTTTAATTCCAGACCTGGTTCAGTTTATTAACTGTATGATATATTACTTACAAAATATTTTAAACATTTTTACATAATGAAAACAAAACATAAGTTTATTGAAATAAAATCGTTTACATTTTGACAAATGATAATTCTTTAGATTTTGATTAAGCTATGAACAAATTCATATACACTAAACAGAATGATAATTGATAATATTTTTATTTCAAAAATTAAAAACAATATCCCAAAACTCTAAAGATATAACAATAATTATTATTAAATGATTAACAAGACAAGTAACAATAATAAAAATGAATATCTTTTCAAAATAAGTTTGATTAATGATTTTAATTGGCAAAATAAAAACCACTAATACATGTGAACAAGTTGGTTTATAATGATTGATCAAGTATCATCATTCCTTATATAATTAAAATTCTAATATAAAAACAATTGAATTTAAATGAGTAATAAAATTGTTTATTAATAACTCATGTAACTATTGATAAATTTCAAATCATTGCCAAACATAACTTGATTCTCAATGCGATAAACAAATGAATCAATTATAAAGCTAACAATTGAATTTAAATGAGTAATAAAATTGTTTATTAATAACTCATGTAACTATTGATAAATTTCAAATCATTGCCAAACATAACTTGATTCTCAATGCGATAAACAAATGAATCAATTATAAAGCTATCATAACATTGAATACCTGGACTTACAAGTTATAAATGCTTTTGTTGTCTGACTAAAAGTAACCAATTAACGATAATACCGTAATAATTTAATTTGTCTATTTCTAAATTACATATTTTTCTAGATTTCTATTTTGTTATTTAAAAGATTATTATAATTATAAATGAAAATGATGTTTTCTTGCATTACTATTTTGTACCGGTATATATACTTTTATAAGTTATATCGTATTTATCATTAGATTTGTGGTGATATTAAAATTGCACTTTTAAAAATGTAATACATTTGAACATAATATCATTTGTTTGTAACAAAATAGATAATGAATTGAAAAAGAGAAGAGCAGACAAAACACAAACATTTTTTATAATTTGCATTTCAATACAGAATATTTGTATTATAGCTAAATAAAAATAACTTTTAAAGTCATAAGTGTATGGCTAATGAAAATGAGGACAATAGTGCTCTACAGTACCGTATATTACAGTTATTTGGTTGGTTGGGCTGTTTGTGTCCTTTAATGTTATACCAATACTCCTCCACTTCTCATAAACCATAACCATATCTCCTCATCCGCTTAAATCCATTTTATTTATCTTTTCATTATATTTAGACATTTTTTACATTTTAAAAAACTTTAGTTTATTTATACTAATACTTTGAAACTATTATTATTGTATAAAGATTACTAATTCCATGACAAATAAAATATTTTACTATACATTCCGTGTTATATTATTTTAATTATAATTATTGCTATTAAATATGTAATAATGAAATAAAATTTATTTGTATTTTTAAAAAACATATTTTAACGTGGTGTAAACCTTAGGAATATAGTCTCAATAATTGATTCCTAATTAACGCTTTAAAATCATTTGCAAAAAACAAATAGTGGTCCCGGATTTGCCACACTTTCACTATATTATAATTTTTTGTTTAATTATTGAAAACTATGTGATATTTTGAAAACCTTTATGAAATGAAAGTTTATATAAGTGTAAGTTATATTTAAATGGAAACAACTCCCAAAACTTAAATCTTATTTTTTCCGGTCTATAATTGTGTTAATAAATGGACAATAATTTATGTTTTATAATAAAACGAAGATTTGTTTGACACTATTTGGTGGTATAATACGATATAATATAATGAAATGAAATCACATTCAAAATCACTTCAAGTGATATGAATCGGTGCTATGAATGACGCGAATATGATTTCGACGATAATATTGTTATGTATTGTGAATGCAGTGCTAACTCAAGACAATTATTTTGTTGAAATCACTTTAAAACAGGGGATTATTCGTGGATTAAGAATCAGAAGCGCCCAAAACAGTGAAGGATTTGCCTTTTTAGGCATTCCTTATGCTACCCCTCCTTATGATCGTCTAAGATTCAAAGTATTCAATTGATTATGAATTTTATGATTGCCTCATCTAATTATGGTATTGTATGACTACTAGCCCCCTGTGCCACATCCCGGTTGGAACCGAGTGCTGGACGCCACCAATTTTAGGCCAATGTGTCCACAACTCGATTCCCGAGGAAATCAATTGGGTTCTGAAGATTGTCTATTCCTCAATGTCTACACACCGGGAGTCAGAGTAAGTGTTTTCATAAATTATAACAGAATAATGCAAAGTATCTAAATTAACAAACTATGTATACATGTTAAAATAAGCTATGTTAAAGTTATACAAACTTTATAATATGTTTTAGAAACAGAGGAACATAAACCCGCGAGTGCAATTTCCGGTATTGGTTTACATTCAGGGTTAGATTAGTTGATTACGAGTGAAACCGTAGAAAATAATTGATTTATTTTCAATGCATAGCCGAGTCATTCGAGTCGGGAGACAGTGCTCTATATGGCGGCGAATACCTGATGGACAAAGAGGTAGTTGTCGTCACTTTTAACTATCGCGTCGGCATATTAGGCACGTATTGCTTATCAGTTTTGATCAATTCATTTAACGCATGAATTGTGTGACAAATACATGAATTGTAGGCTTTTTGAGTACTGAAGACGAGAGTGCATCAGGAAATTGGGGTCTTTTTGATCAGAAACTAGTACTCGAATGGGTTCGCAATAATATCGCCGCTTTCAATGGGGATCCAAATTTGGTGACAATATTTGGACAGGGAGCAGGTATGTTACTCTAATTCCTGTGATTTATGGTTAAATTAACGACTTCTCAAATCAGGAGCCGCGTCAGTCATATACCACATGATATCGCCGTTATCTCAGGGTTTGCATAAATTTCAATCGATTTATATATCAATTAAAATCTTATTTGACATAACATTAGGTTTGTTTCATCGCGCGATAGCACAGAGCGGTTCAGCCCTTTGCGAGTGGGCTCTCGAGAGATCTCCATTAATGTTTGCCAGAGATGTGGCTCAGAGTGTGGGCTGTCCCACACAAACCACTATTGATTTAGTCAATTGCTTGAGGAAAACACACTTTAGTCTACTATTGAAAGCTCAGACCAATGCTAAGGCACGCTATAGGAGT